AGGACTGAGATCCTCCTCAAGTGCTCCACAGCCTCTGCAGCATCAGGCCTTGATGCCAGAGAACTTCTGGCCTTACCCCACCTTCTGCAAGAGCCTGGAGAGGTTTTTGCTGCTGTTCAGAACAGGAGTTGGTGCATGCAGTCACCACAGGAAGGGTGGTCTAGCAGTGCATGTTATTTATTCATGGTCTGGAGCTGCCCTGGGCCCTGGAGAGGCACCATCCTCTGCTCTTTTCAATGCATCTCATTTTATTTATGTTTGTAAACAATTCTTTTCTGGGCCCTTTCCCCCATAACTCCCAGTGAAAATTCAACAGGGAGTCTCAAAAACCTGGAAGAAATACAAATTTTTAGTGATTGTTTCTGGGTATTTAAAATAACTGTGGCCTGGGTTGTAATTATTCAGCATTTCCCCATCCCTGCAAGAGTCCAAGGCCAGTTTGGACCGGGACTGGAGAACCCTGGGATAGTGGAAGGTGCCCTTTTAGGGAAGCTGGAATAAGATGAGCTTTAAGGTTTCCTTCCAGCCCAAACCATTCATAGATTTTATGATTCAAGGGAGGTGTGAAATGAGTTTTCTACTTCCCCTGTACAATATTCCATCTTTAAATCCAAGAGGTAAAGCGCAAAAGCTTTACTCATGTCCTTCCTGCCCTGCCTCATCCCTGCTGTCCCCGGGGATGTCACTGCCAGGAAAGCTTTTCCTGGTGGGTTGATGCTGCCCCTCAGGTGGGGCTGTGTCCACAAGGACAATCTCTGGAGCACTGGGGGATTTGCAGGGAGCTTCAAGGTCCCCACAGCTCCCTGGTCAAAGCTCCTCAGCCATGCAGATCCTGGGATGTGACAGATCTGTCACGGCACAGCTCCCACTCCTCCCCAGGAGCTGGGATGTCCCCCAGCCCTCTCAGGGACACCAGTCCCCTCTGCAAACCAGTGAGCCCTGCAGGGGTGTGCAGATTCCCTCATTATCCCTCTCCATGTTTAATCCCTTCCCTGTGGGATCCTGGGTGTGCTCAGCCGTGCTGAGCAGAGCAGGAATCACAGCTCAGCACGGCCTGCCCTGCTAAGGCCAAGAAAGTATTGCTGCAATTAATACAGCAAAAAAATGGCCCCAGTGTCCTTCCTAGTTTTATTTTCTTTCCCAGCCAAGCTGCCCGCTCCTTGGATTTGGATTCCTTCAGCTGCACAGAAGGGCACGTGATTTATTGAAATTGGAAAGCTTGCAGACAAAAAAAGGCTGTGAAATTATTTTGTATCTGACACAATCATTAGTGGTATTATTTCTTTTGGAGCTGGGAAGGACACTTATAAAACATCTAACAAGCTGCTAAGGAGATTGCCTAAAGCAGTGATTTTCAAAATGTGCTGCTGGAGCCCATTCTTTGTGCTCTGCACATATATCAAGCTCCAGTTTCTTTTTATGGAAAGGACTTCGAATAATATTTCTGAGGGCTGTTTATGACAGTTTGCTGGTCACCCTCTTCAAATATATGCCACCTGCTGATGGCATGATATGGAGATGTCTGAAAGAGGCCAGGGCACTCTAAGCAAGTGTGTTGTGGGGCAGAGGGGCACCCAGAGCTCCTCTTCTGCTTTGTGACTCCCTCTGTGCACGTGGACCATGCCAATCCTCCAATTCCAATACTGAACCCAGTACCATTCTCTAAGGATGCTCTTGGAGGGGTGTGGATGGTCTCCTCTGGGTCTCCACTTTGCCTGCTGCAGCCAGAACTTGTCCAGCAGTCCAGCCTGCTTGGATAGCTTGGTCCAGCCAACTGGTCTGGATACAGGAGGTGCTGGTGGAAGGCACCTTCTGGGGGGACAGGCACCAATTTCATCATAGAATCATCACAGAATGGGTTGGAAGGACCTTAAATCCCATCCAGTGCCCCCCCTGCCATGGCAGGGACACCTCCCACTGTCCCAGGCTGCTCCAAGCCCCGTCCAGCCTGGTCTTGGACACTGCCAGGGATCCAGGGGCAGCCACAGCTGCTCTGGGCACCCTGTGCCAGGGCCTGCTCACCCTGCCAGGGAACAATTTCTTCCCAATACCCAGTCCAAACCACCTCCCTTTCAGTTTGAAGCTGTTCCCCCTTGTCCTGTCACTCCAGGCCCTTGTCAATAGTTTCTCTCCATCTTTCCTGTTGACTCCTTCAGGCACTGCAAGGCTGTGATTAGATCACCCCAGAGCTTTCTCTTTTCCAGGCTGAACAACCCCAACTCCCTCAGCCTTTCCTCACAGCAGAGCTGTTCCATCCATCTGATCACCTCAGTGTCTGTCTGGAGCCACTCCAGAAGGTTCCATGCCCTTGCTGGATGTGTTTCCTATCTGGAGGAGGAGCAGGATGGGCTGGAGAGCAGAGCCCAGCCTGACCCTTGGCAGCTCTGCTCTCACCTGGACTGGTGATGCACGAGAACTCTGCCACGTCAGAGACTGGCTGTGCTTCCTCCTCCCGGAGGGGAGCAAATCCAAGGATTTGGCAACTTGTGCTGGCCAGATCTGCTCTGGGAAACTCTTATTTCCCTGGCTGAGGGGCTGTGACTCGAGCAGGATGTGCTTTCCTAGTGGTGAGTGTGGAGTTTATTAGCAGTGACCCCAGCTCTCCCCTGGCACTTTGCATCAGCTGATCCCAAATCCTGTTGTGGAAATAGGTCACAATCGTGGACACCATTTTAAAGCTGAGACACAAACCCCAGCAGCCTCAGACAAAGTCACCCACAGGCAGCTGGCAGGGCTGCAGACTCAGTCCCACAGTCCTGAAGCCCAGCCCAGTGCTCCAGCCCTCCCATTCCCATCACCAGCACTGGGATGGACACTTCAGTTGCTGTCAGCTGGCTGAGGGTGGATGGAAGGAGCTGTTGTCATGGATACAGCATCCACAGGCTGTGCCCACAGGAGCTCTGTGGGCTTCAGACACCCGAGCAGCCATCAGCACAGGAAGGGTGGTTAATTCCCAGCCTGGCACCTCTGGACCCACCGAGCTGGTGCTCACCGACCTCTCCAGCACCAACAGCTGCCAGGACCTGCTGGAGTCACCTCCATCCATCCTGGAATCCAAATTGCAGGATTTACACACAGCTGGTGCCCTTCCAGCACCACAGCACCTCTCATTCCCTGCCTTGGGGGTGTCTTTCCTCCAAAACAGGCGGAGAGAGACACCCCAGCCACACACACACACACAGGCATCCCCTGAGGAGGCTGTGGCTGCAGGTGAGAACCAACCTGTAACACTGAGAACTCAGCTGAAATCGTCTGGATTATGGGGAAAAAGTACAGCCAAAGCCTGTTTTGGCCTCTTCCCATTCTTTCATAGGGTCATGGAATATCCTCAGCTGGAAGGGACCCACAAGGATCATGGAGTCCAGCTCCTGCACAGACACCCCAACAACCCCACCCTGAACATCCCTGAGAGCATTGTCCAAACACTCCTGGAGCTCTGGCAGCCTCGGGGCCTGGCTTGTGCTGTGCTGATGAGCCAGAGGAAGCTCATCCTCTAGAATATGGTAGCTCCCATTTCAGCAGGTTGAAAGTCCAATTTCCCATGTAAACATCCTCAGAAGATGGAATCAGAATCATGGGATCATGGAATTATTAAGGTTGGAAAAGGCACTTAAATCATGGAGTCCAACCATTCCCCCAGCTCTGTCACCAAACCATGTCCCCAGGCCCCACACTCACAGGTTTTTTGTGCGTTTCCAGGGATGGTGAAGCCACCAGTGCCCTGGGCAGCTCTTCTAATGCCTGACCACCCTTTGGGTGAGGAATTTTTTCCCAATATCCACCCTAAACCCCTCCTGGTGAAACTCAAGGCTGTTACTGCTGCAGGCAGAGGGGACTGCCTGGACATCTCAGGCCACCTTTTTGTCCCTGTATGAGGTGACAAGCACTCTGAGCTTGCTCATGCAAAGCCTTCCAGGAGCAGTGAGACTGAGCTGTGGGAGCTCTGTGCAGAGGGGGTGACACCTTCCAGGGTTGCTGCTGTCACAGCCTAAAGCAGAAAGATGAACCTCGAGGCAAAGAACAACCTCTGCTCCCCCCTCCAGGGCTGGTGGATCCTCCTCCAGGGCCTCAGCACTGCTCCAGGGCTTGTCTGGAGGACAGGAGGTGCTTGCAGGGGTTTTCTCCTCTCTTGTAGCACAGACCCCAGGGAACACATAGAAACATTTCACTGATCACTCTCCTGGCCTCTGCCATGGGGATAGCGAGCTCTGATAACAGACAGTGTGTCAGAACCCCCAGATTTCCTGGGTGAGCCTCCAGCAGCGAGCTTGCAGCAGCTCCATGGCCATCAAAACAGGTTTCTTTGGCAGCCCCACGATCAGCCAGGCTCAGCACATAGAAAACTGCTTGAGACTGTGATCTTTGTGCAGCCAGGCCATTCCAAAGTGTTTTTTTTCCTTTTTCTAACAGTGAGTTTACCATTAGATGTGCCTGAGAAAGCACAGATAATGCCATATATTTAGTGTAGGAATTATGATCTTTGGTACTGTCTGCCATCAGAAAACCCATTTTAATAAACAAATAAAAAAACTCAATTACTTGCTATGTTCAGAATCCAGGGAGATTCAGAATCCAAAAGGGGAGCTGTAGACAACAGGTCAGAGAGCCCTGAACATACTTGGCAAAGGATTGTGGCACCTCAGACAAATTTAGGAATTAAGTTGCCCTTAAATAACCCAAAATCTTACTGCTCATCCCTAATCCAGGAGCATGATTAATCATTAAATATCATTTATGCAGGAATAGGAAACTGCTTTCACACATTCCCATAGTCACTGCTGATGAAGTGAAGATCTCCAAGTGAAGCTGCTGCCCCCAGGCAAGGTGTGCCAGCCTAATCCAGAGGAATTAACGAGATCCAGCAGGGCCCATTTCAGCCCCATTCCCCTCTAATTGCCCAGGACAGGGCTGGGCTCCTTCCTGCTGCTCCCCAGAGCTGTCAGTCCCTGAGGCTCCTGCCCTGCCCCATCCCAGCCACTATAAAAAGGCAGGAGGGGCTGATGGAGTATAGTGGGTGCCTGGTTCTTCCTTGCTGCTGGTCTGTTCACCTCCAACAGGTAAAAAAAGGTACTGTTCTGGAATAGTCACATGTTGGGGTGTTATAGCAGCCCTCTGAACTCTGTTTTCTCCCAGTTCTGCTGTTGTTGTTTCTTTTAGTCAAGAATTTCTTAAAGCCTTGGTAGGGAGGTGATGCCTTTTCTGTGCCTCCAAAAACAGAGGCTGGGCAAAATTAAGAGAGTGAAAAAGCAGTTCTATATATTTAAGGGCCTCCAGGTGCATTTCTGGCAGACAAAGCCCCCCAGGGACTGCACCCAAAATGGACCAGGGGTCACAGGGTTTCACACTTTTATAAGTTTGGTTCATTTGCATATTGGTGGTTAATATTCCAATTCCAGCTTCAGGTAATGAAGTCATTTTCCCCAAGTTTGCTCCCTCAACTTGCTTTTGTTTCCATCTCTCAGGGCCTGAGGCAGTGAGGTGTCCTTGACTGCCAGGCCTGGAGAGGAATTGTTGTGTCTGCCCAAACTGGGAAAGCAGCAGCTCCCAGTGTGTGTGGAGTTTAGAGTTATACACTGAGAACTGCAGGGTTACAAATAGATGGAAAATATAAAAGCTGAAATCCTAAGGAATCAGAGGAAGGAAGTACCCTGTGCTTCTCCTAAATATATTAATAATGTTTGGCCTCTAGGGTGAGGAAAGAATGTTTTCCTTGTTCCTTTGATTATCACAAACCACCTGGAACTTAAACTTGAAACCAGGTAGATTTGCAAGAGGCACAGAGCCCCTTCTATGAGGCCATTTTGGGGTTTCCCCTGAACAGGCAGTAAAGGAACTTCTCTCTTTTATGACTTCAGAGTGTCCCTTTGGAAGGGGAACTCTTTCCCTAAAGCCTCGGTGTTCCTTGCATTCCAGCTGCCATGGCCTCTGCTGTGCCCGACAAGGAGGAGGTGGCCCAGAGCTCCCCAGAGGAGGAGGAGGAGCAGGAGGTTGGTGGTCCCTGTGGGATGTGAGGAGGTGGTCCTGCTGTGGCTGAGGGGAGCTGAGCCCCAAAAATGGGAGTTTCCTCTGGTCAGGCTGTGCCCTGCAGCTTCTGGGTGACAACCCAGATAAAGATGTGGACCTAAAGGCCCTGTAACCTCTTAGACTCAGCAAAATTCCCTGGTTCTTGGCTAGGAAAGTCTCTAACTCAAGGCCCTGGCTCCTGGCAAGCAGTGCTCCCAGGGAAAGACTCCAATGTCTCAGCCTCCCTGAGACCTGCTGCTCTTGCTCTGGGACCAGCAGCATCCTTGCAGGCAAGGGTGACGTCTGTCAACTTAAAACCTGCTCAGTCCTGGCTGGTGGAGCTTTTCTTGTCATGTTGGCTTGTCAGAGAACCATTCCAGATGAAGTGGAGATGGATGTGTGGCAGAATAGCTGAGGTTGCCCCCAAACTTGCTTGCTCTTTGTGCTAGAGGAACATTTTCCTGGGGTGGACCATCATTAATGGCAAAGCTCCCCAGCTTGTGTCACAGCTGAGTTATGGATTTAAGCGTGTGAGCAAGGCAAGAGTTTCGCCCTGAGGTGGGCCAGGTGATTTGGTGACAATTCCTCCCAAACAGGGAGTTTCAGGGCAGAACTGCTCCATGTTTGGAGCTTCATGGCTGCACTTTCCTTTGCTCTTCCAGGCTGTGGTGAAGGAGGTGGCCAATCTGAGCCTGGTGGGCTCTGCCTGTGATGTGGTTTCTGCAGCTTATGCCTCCAGCAAGGAGAGCCACCCCTATGTGAGGTCTATGTGCGATGCTGCAGAGAAGGGAGTGCAGAGCGTGAGCGAGGCCACGGCCAGCTGCGTGCAGCCAGTGCTGGCCACCCTGGAGCCCCACGGTAAATCCCTGGGGAAGGCCATGGGAGGGACTCTCCTGCTCCTTCTGCACCTGGGAGGAGTCCTGGGGTGAGGAAATGCACCTTTCCATTGCCACAGTGAAAGGACAACTCCTGGCTTATAAATGAGGCTACAGCTGGGCCCCAATCCCAGCAGTGAGATGGAGAGTCAGGCATTGACTGTGATGCTGGCTTTCCTAAAACTGATTTTTGCGAGGTAGAACTTGAGGTGAAATTGCAGAAAACCACATTTTGACACGTTTTTGGTTCTCTCTTCAGTTGCTGCAGTGAGCGAGTATGCTTCCAAGGGTTTGGATAAGCTGGGGGAGAAGCTGCCACTCCTTCAAAAGCCGGTGGAGCAGGTAAGAATTAAAGGCTGTGCTGTCCCTGGCAGGCAGAGGGGCCTGGCTCTTGTGGGATTTCTCAGCTAGGGAGTGATGCAGGCTCACACACCTGAGTGTGTGATGCGAGCTCCTAGCAGAGTAAACAACTGACTGTGCTGTTTGTCCTCTTGGTGCAGTTCAGAATTTCAGAACCCACTCTAATATCTGCCATTCTTCCTGTTCCCCAGATCCTCTCTGGCACAAAGGAGCTGGTGTCATCCAGAGTGGCTGAGGTGAAGGAGGCTGTGAGCAGCAAAGTGCTGCAGGCCCTGGATGTCAGCAGGGAGGCTGTGCAGAGCAGTGAGGGGGCTGCAGGACCTGCTGTGACCGGGCTGGTTCTGGAGCCTGGAGCGGGTGTGTGTGGAGCAGAGGCTGTGCTGGGCAGAGACAAAGGTGACTCCCTCCCTATTGGAAATGAGGAGCTAGGTAAGGAACGGGGGATATGCCTGTGGAAGTGGGAACTATTGGGCATGGTCAGCCCCATTCATCACCCTGCTACTCTGGAGTGGGCCTAATGGGAAGAAGAGAATCCCAGAATGGTTTGTGGTGGAAGGCACCTTAAAGCTCATTTTGGGCTTCTCACCTTGGGCAGGGACACCTTTCACCAGCCAAGGCTGCTCCCAGCCCCATCCAGCCTGGCCTTGGACACTGTCAGGGATGCAGGGGCAGCCCCAGCTGCTCTGGGCACCCTGTGCCAGGGCCTCACTGGGGGGTACCTGGCTGCCAGTCTGGGATCTCCTGGGCCTGTTGCTGTGCCATCTGTGCCTCAGGCCCTGTCTCTGTCCCCAGCCCAGCTGGCAGTGTGTGAGGAGGGCACAGAGGCGCTGCCCCTGGAGCAGCAGCGGGAGCAGAGGAGGTATTTTGTGCGCCTGGGCTCTCTCTCGGAGGAACTTCGCCTCTTTGCCCACCTGCACGCCACAGCCAGGATCCAGCAGGTCTGGCAGGGCATGCAGGGGGCCCTGGCACAGCTCCGCTGCATCCTCGAGCTGGTAGGTAGAGCCCAGCCCCTGGAAGGATGGGACCAAAGCCCTGGTCTTGTCTCAGCTTCATTGCTGTGCTGAGGAGCTTTGTGGTTCCCCAGCTGATCTGTCTGTCCTGGCACTCTGATCTTCCCCTGCCACAGATTGAGGCATTTAAGCAAGGATTTAATCAAAAGCTTCAGGAGGGACAGGAGAAACTACACCAGATGTGGCTGGACTGGAGTAGGAAGTATCTCAAAGAGAGTGGAGATGAAAGCTCTGTGGAGCCAGAGGTACCTTCCTGGGGAGGGAGGTAAAGGGCTCTGGGCATCCCCTGCATTTTAACTTTTAAATAACTCATTCCTGATCGTGTCCTTCCTGTCTCCTCCCAGGAGCTGGAGAGTCTGACCCTGCTGATGGCACGCAGGGTCACGCAGCAGCTGCACCTCACCTGCTGTGGGGTGGTGGCAGCAGTGCAGGGCCTTCCCTGCAGCCTGCAGGACAAGCTGAAACGGGCTCCTGGTGCCACCAAGGAGCTGCATGCTGCCTTCTCACTGGCAAACTCCTTCCAGGATTTGTCCAGTGGTGTCTTGAGCCAGAGCCAGAGGGAGCTGGCTGTGATCCAGGAGTACATGGAGGAGCTGCTGCATTACCTGAAGAACAACACTCCTCTGTCCTGGCTGGTGGGACCCTTCTCCCCCAGAGGGGAGGAGGAGGATCAGTCCTCCCAGGAGGAAGAGGCAGCAGGAGCTGGGCATCTGGAAACCTCCAGCACCCCCATGTGAAGGATAAAACAATATTTGCTGTTAGCATTAAACCCTCGGAAAGTGTAAAGAATTGTCATCCTGAAAGCTGCTTGTACTGGGTCATAACTGCTTAAAATAAAACTGCTGCATACAAAATCTCTGGTCTCTCTTGGACAAAGCCTGGGAGCAGTGGGTGTGAACTGTCCTCTTCCCACCTCTTCCTTGATGGAATTGGACTGTGGGCTCAGGGATGCAGGAACAGCAGCCAGTGGTACAGGAAGGATCACAGCTGTGAGCCCTGCTGATGTCCTGGGAAGTCTTATTTCCTTCTCTCTCCCCAGAGGTAACTGTGTGCCCTGCTGGCACTGCCCTGTTCTTGGGGGAGCTGTCAGAGCCTTGGCATCCCTTGGCACTGCTCCTCCAAGGCCGAATTCTCCTCCTGTGTTTATTTGCTGCTGCCTGGAGCGAGTTTGTTTGGTGGGATGGAAGGTGTGGGAGCAGCTGCCCAGGGAGGCACCGGGCTCTGGGTGAAATCCTTGCTGCCCTCTCCCCTCTGGGGTTTCTGGGGAGTTCAGAGCTCTTCCAGCTCCCTTTGGAAGAGGCTGGGGAGCCCAATGCCTTCAGCCTGGCCAGGCAATGCTGTGGGTTGGGCTGATGGAGCAGGTGCCTGTGGGACTTTGAGAAGAAAAGCTCTGCTCCTGGCTCTTCATCCTTCTGTCTTTAAGACCAGAAGTGGAATCTGCTCTCATGTGAGTACTGCTTTTTTCCAAAGTTATTTTTTATTTAAAGATTTTTTTTTTAACAAAAGTGAAGTATTTTATTTAGAAGTTTGTTGGGATTTTTTTTTTATTTAAAGATATCCAAATTTGTTTCATGGCAGGGGTCAGAAAGAGGGACTGGGGATGTTTTTGTGGATGATGAATGCAGGCTTGAAGAGCTGGAACTTCCTCCCCTCTCACATAAAAGTGTCCCCTTTTCCAGCAGCACTCCTCATCCTCCAGCCCTGTGTGTAAAGGCTTTGTGCTGAGGCAGCAGTGTGTGGGCTCTGGGTTTGGACAGCAATTATTCCTTCATGCAGCACAGCCCCCTCATGGAGGGGAGGTTTGGATCCAGATTCCCTGAGCTCAGCATGTACCAAACAAGGGTCTTCCTCTTGTAGCAACCAGTTTGTGTTGAAGGCAAAATCATCAGGCAGTTTAATTTGCCAGGCCAAGGTGTTGCTGAGATGTGAGAGAGAAATTGCAGAGGGCATCCCTGTGTGCTCTCAGCTGCAGGGGGAATTCTCCCTGGAAAAAAGCTCAGCAGTTCTGCCTCCTGTAACTGCTGCTGAACTTGGGGAGTGGGAATTGGGGATATTGCAGCCAGTCCTGCTGCTTGGTGGGAATAAACTGTGTGTTGTCTTCTTAATAGCAAAGTTGTATCTTACCTCTAGGAATGCTTGAAATGTAAACTTGCCTGATTATAAAAGTGATTTTTTAAAGGAATAGCTGGGCATTCCTGCACTTGGTATTGATTTGTCTGTGCAGCACATCTGAGCTATGCTAACATAGTGCTTAGCCCAGCAAATCCTGCTGCTCCTGCCCATGGATCAGTGGGATGTGTTCTTGCATGGTCATTAAATCCCTTTACAGAGAATATTCCTGGCTGCCTGTGCCCACAGCTCCTGGGATGCTCTGGGAACTCCAGTCCTGTGTGTGGCCAGAATCTCCCTGTGCTGCAGGGATGAAGAGCCCAGGAAAGCTAAAAAAGCCTCAAAAAAGGCTACAGAGACTGTAGCAGAAGAGCTACCACGGGCTGAAATGACCTTCCTGTGGCAGCTCCTAAAGCTCTGCTTGAAAAGAGGAGGCTCCTCAAGCAGAGTTTGAGGAGTGGAAGCCTCTCCCTCTTTCACTCTTTAACATCCCAAGATTCAGGGAGCCATGGAAACTTCTTACACCAAACTAGAAGGGAAAAGTCTGAGCAGCTGCACATGGGAATAGTTTGACTTTTTTATTTGAGCTGCTCTCATCCATGCTGCAGAAACAGCAGGGGATAGAGGTGGGAGAAGCTGGGAATGATGAATGGACTGGCTTCCTGCAGTGTTTAGGGCTGCAGCTCCTCTGAGCTCTGGGAAAGTATCCAGGTTGTTCTTCATTGTCTCCAAGCTTGTCTGATTATCCATGCTTGTTTTGAGTAGTTTTGGATAGAAATGAGAAATGTGTTGGTAATGTGACAACCCTAAGCAAACACCTTGGCAGGGAAGATGTGCCTTGAGGCATCTCCTCTGGCTCTCAGCAGCCCTGGGGAGTGATGCAGGGCTCCTTGATTCTGGTCATTATTGCCCTGGTGCTTGTGTCTCACCCTCCCCTGCTGCTGCTGTGCCCCTGTGCCAGCTCGCCTCTGGGCTGATTTCAACTTTAAATGCACTCAACAGGGGGCACTTGCTTCTTGTTCTACTTTTGGTGGATGCCACCACATCCCTCTGCCGGTTTTCTTAACACTTCAATGATTTCACTCTCACATCCACATCCTGCTGCTGTTCTTCCTCCCAGCCCTGCTGCTCTCTGCCCCAGTGCCTGACCTGTGGGTCAGGGCCTGAGTGTGCTGCTGCTGCCTCCAGGCCCCCTTGGGCATGCTCCAGCAGGCTGACACTTCTATCAGTGAAATTAGGAGGCATTAACCAAGCTGTGTCCGTGTTTTCCTGCCTGGCAGAGGGAAGGGCTTAAGGAGAGTTTCCCAAGCAGCTTTGTTAAGGCAGTAGGTTGGGAAAGTGAAGCTCTCAGCAAGTGCTGGAAGGCAAAAGCTCTGTAGTTGCTTGCAAGGGGCTTAATTTCCTCTTCTCCCTTTCATGTTTCCTGTCAGTCTTGGATATTGTCATCCCTTCTCCAGAGCTGTGCTATTGATTGCTGCAACATACACCGAGTATATAAAAGGTTTGAGGCCTCCCTGAAGGGCTGCTCGGGGAGCTGAGTGAGGCCCTGCACAGCCAGGAGCTGTCTGGCTCCAACTTCTGTGTCACCTTCAGTTCTTGGGATTGGGAAAATTCAAGATGCTCAGAGCTCACAGGAATTCATTTGGAATGGGATGGGTTGAAGTGGCTGTGGCTGGTCAGTGTGGGAGCAAAATCAGATTGTGGTGGCTGATGTGGGCAGGCAGGAGCTCTGTTCTGCTGCTTTGCACTTGGTTCTGTGCTTTCCTTGTGTCCCCTCTCCTACTGCAGCTTCCCTTGTATTAGAGCAAGCCAAGTGTTCCAGCTGGAATAAATGGAATTGATTGGTGCTAACTAAATTGTAACTGTTATTAAAGTTATTATTAGAAGCAACCAAAAGAATCAGTGTTACAAAGCAGATGCACCCCTTTACAGATGTTACATGTTAAAATTGAGGTACAGGATGGAGTTTGGAAGATAAGTGATGTCCCAAGATGAAAACGACCTTGAGATGGACAAAATTGGAATGACTTTAAGCATAGGGCCCAAAAATTATTAAATGTCAGATTAATTAGTAGATTTACATAACACAACACTTAGTACACATGTGCAAACCTGTAAGGTTATCCAAAGGACAACGAGGAAGAGGAGAAGCCTTCACCAAAAGACCCCCAAAAGAAGACTGAAGACCCCCTAACAACAAGTGAGGCGTGTGCCGTGAAGAAAAGTGATGTGAAGTCAGAAAAACCAGAAATAGAAGGAAACTTACAGGTAACATTAATGAATATGGATAAATACACAGTATATAAGTTTAGCTTGAAGTGCTTTTGTGAGGGGGGGCGAGAAGCCCTCCCCCTACCCCAGTCAGTTTTGCTTATGCTTTAATCACACTTAATTACTGGCAAATTATATCTATAAATTGTATTTTTTATTAACCTGTGTTCTTTTACTAAATTGTATTCTTTTATACCAAGTCACTATTCAATTCACTAAATTGTATTAATTTATAACTAAACTGCTGTTAACTCAAAGGACCTAGTTGTCAAAATTCTAATTTCATTTATAACACAGGGCAGGGGAGAGAGCCCTGGAGGGATTTCCCTGCTCTCTGTGCCTGCAGCCTGCAGTGGCCAGGTGAGATCAGTGTGGGTTTGGGAGCCCCAGAGGACACAGGTGCTTATCTGGGAAAGAAACAGCTGGGAAGGCTGGGGAGGAGTTTGGGACTAAGGCTGGGGTGAGGTGGAGTGGGAAAAGGAGACCTGGAGGAGGAGACAGCAGGAGGGCTGGGGACAGCTGGGGAGCAGGTGAGAGGGAAAACCAGTGGAAAATCCTCCAAGATGGATTTGGAATAAAGGTGAGAATTCAGTGAGTCTGGAGGAGGAGGAGTGAACTGAGTATCTGGAGGATGGGAGCAGGGAATTCTGGACTGGGATGGGGCTCACCTGGAGCAGGGTGCAGAGGACTGGAGAGCAGGAGAGGAAACAGATGGAAGGGAGCTGGAAATTCCTTTTTTACAGTTATTTTGAGGGCACTGTGTGTGTATCTTATCAAGTTGATTCACTGGGTGTCTCAGTGCAAGGCAAAACGCCATCTCTGCCCCTTGGCAAGGGAGTGTTGGAGAAACATTGATTCCCCTATTCCCCTGCAAAAGGAGCCCCAAAATATTTACACTGCATGGACCATCCTGCAGGGCACTGTCCTCACACACCTTGGCTCTGCAGGATGTTTTTGTGAGGAAACACATCCTGAGCTCTCCCAGCTGAGGAAAATACCAACTCCAGTGGCCTTTTTCCCAGCAGAGAAATCCAACATTTTGGGTTTGTGCCTGCTGTCCTCCCTAAAACCCTGCTCTGCCTCGAGCTGGCTGATTTTGGATGAACACCTGGCTGGCAGATCCAGGTACCTCTCACCTGGGGAGCCCTGTGCTGCCTCCCCTCCCTGCTCCATCTCTCCCTTGGGATGGTGATTGCAGCTGGGAGCTGAAGGTCACTTGAAATGCCATCTTCATTTAGCTGCCTCGATGGGGTAATTACAGCTGGAAATGCAAGGTTTGCTAAACAAATTACAACCCAAATGCAGTGTTTACCTTGTGAGAGATGGGTTGGGAACACCTGTGCCAGTTTGTGGAATA